AGCAAAATGTCTTCTCTAGATAGTGCAGTATGAGGAAGAACATGCCAGGGAGAGAAAGACAGGGGATACTAAGCACAAGCACTAAATGTAGTTTTGTGCCACTTGGGGAGGTTAGAATGAATGCTACCAGATGCAATCAGTGTATTAAAACCTACCTTGCAGGATTTTCTTGAATCCTGAGATGGTATCCTGTTGATATTAAAAGACAGAAAACAGCACTTAACAAAAACGAAATAAAACATTTTCTGCAGGCATCACCCAGCAGATTCACATTATCAAGAAACAGTAAAAATGTTGGGACCATGTAATCAACATTCTTAAAAATCACATTAAATTACACAAAGTATTGACACAGTCGAACCCAGTTTCAACAAGATGGCCACCTTTTTACTATGGTCACTTTATTTTGCCTCAGGTCAACACTTAGTTATGCCAACAACCTCATCAATATGGCCAATACATAAACACGACCAGATTTTGATGGCCTGTTGAATAACAGAGTTCCACCCTTTAAATAATGCAACTGCAGACGAATTGAGAATATTTTATGAAGATCAACAGCTGTGAGAATTTACCTTCAAGGGGACAAGCTTGCCATCATGACCCGTGAACACCTCAGCAACTTGGAAAGGTTGGGACAGGAATCTCTGGATCTTACGTGCACGGGCTACAGTAAGTTTGTCATCTTCAGACAATTCATCCATACCCAGGATAGCGATGATATCTTGGAGAGATTTGTGGTCCTGAAATGATCACAATCACATGTTAACTATGAAGCTAACACAATACATGTAATCCAGCAGCAACTGCCATAAAATGCACATGCAAAACTTGCTCTGTCCCTCTTGTGAACATAATGGAGTCACTAGAAGATGTACCTTTACCTGCCTGACACTTTTGAATTGCCAGATGCATTTGTGACACTCATTCTTTATCAAAAGACTTTACAGAGCATTCTAACAGGATAAATGTAGGTTCCAAATTATGTAACAAAATTTTTGCCAGCAATGCAGATCACCCAGTAGCATTGCTCCTACATGTTGTGAGACTGGAGATAAAAAGAAAATGGACTTTCGAACAAAACAAAGTATACATTGTACACTACAGTAATTCAAAAGAGTGTAAGGTAAAGAATCAGAGAGTAAGCTACAATAAGAAATGTTTCACTCACCTGCAAGATCTTCTGTACACCTCTGGCAACTTCATAGTGCTCTTGTCCTACAACATTGGGGTCCATAATACGAGAGGTAGAATCCAGAGGATCCACGGCAGGGTAGATTCCAAGCTCAGCAATGCCACGGGAAAGCACAGTGGTGGCATCCAAATGAGCAAAGGTGGTGGCAGGTGCAGGATCTGTCAAGTCATCAGCTGGCACATAGATAGCCTGCC